AAATGAACTATAAATAGTACTAAAAATTTAAATTTACTAAATACTGTAATTAATGATGAAATACTATATTAATTAAATATAATTTAATTAATAGTTGTCACTTTTCATAATGAATATCTCTGAATTAAATTCTCTCTTACATAATAGAAAGTAAATATTAATTAAATGATTAAATAATGGATGAAAAATTTTGGATAAAGTTATCTATTCCTAAGGAATAGTAAATGCATTTTTAAAATTATCTAAGTTACAATTGAAAAGAATCAAATATCAATTTTAACTTATTAATTTAAAATATCACTGACATCTAATAATATTCTTCCTAATAAATTTAATATATTTTTTTCTTATCTAATGTTACTGAAGAAAAATTGTAATTATGTCAATCTAACAATTAAATGTTAAAGTAATAAAAGTTTAATATTATATTTCACTTAACACACCAAACTCTCATAGTCACCTGTTCTTAAAAACTGGTTTTTCAGCAGGGCTGTCACAAGTCAGCATACAGGACATGCACTGCATAAAAGTGTCATCAAGTAGAACTAAAAGCCATTCCTAATTAAGTGCCTGATTTCAATTATGAAATTATAAAAAAATGGAAAAAAACATTATGTTGAAAAATTAAAATTGCAAGCTGCAACAATCCAAGTATCAATGCTTGTATAATATATTTATATGGATTTATAGTATTGCACAATCAAAAGTGTGCAAAATGGCCAGGCAGACATGTTTATTCCTCACCAAATGAAAAATGAAGAATAAACTTGTATTGACTAGTTTATAACAATGTTGCCAGATGATCATATCACCCAAGCTAAATTTTAAAGGAGTTTTGATTGGATTAAAAAAAAAAAAATAGAAATTTAGAGTACCTTTGTATTAATTTTTAAGGGGTGGATGAAAAAGTACTTGTACACAAGCATGAGATACCCTAACAAAGGCAAAGGTTCTTCAGTGTTTATTATCACTATTATTACAAATGTATTTTGGATTCCTGTGATCTATCTTCAAACATATTAACAGTCAACATTAAAATTACAGTCATAAAAAATCACATTTAAAAAAATATTTCTCTGAAAATAACATTCATTTAACAGACATCTTCTTTTCATGAAACATTTTACAGTGATAATATAAACTCTGAAGAAGCAGTTTTTATAAATATTACATTTCAATTTTAACTAAATTTGAATGTTTAAAGAACTGGTTTTTGTGTGGGAAAATAATGTATTACCTAGAAACAAAAAAATAAAAATAACCAAATTAAGTTAATAAGCAACATTTATTTCATTGAAAGAAATTATTTATTACTATTACAGCGAGTGATTAGTTAACGAACATAATCTGTTCCAAGACTTTGTTCACTATCTGAATTGTTCGTTAACCGATTATCGATTTACCATAGGTTTCCTATGGGAATTTGATTAATTCGTTCTGGAGATTCCTAAAAAATAAGAAAATATATACTTTCTTACTACGTTTATTCATATGTAATAATAAAAATACATATATACACGGTCTTGCATATTTATTTGTCATGTTTTTTCTGTTTGTGGGGGTTAAAGAATCTGTCCAATGTTGATTGCTTTTCTGTCTTCTTAGTGATTTTTCAGAAGTAATTAATCGCATTGTAATTGTAGAGATCCCTAAGCCTATTAACCTGAACCTGGTTTGGATGCCATTTTAAGATCACTGTTCTGACATCCTCCCACTTCTTCAAAAGATCTTTAATAGCAGATATCGGCATCAATCCTCTTTTTCAGAAGAAAACATAAAAGGAAATTGTTCCAGTCTTTTATATTTCTGATAGAAACATATCAGAAATATAAAAGGCTGGAATTACAAGGGAGAGTTTCAAAGTTCAGGGGAATACTATCTGATCAGTATATACTGGGTTGAACGTCGATGTCGACATCTTCCACACTCCGAAAAGTTTTGAATTGTTGCCTGAAGACAAAGGAAGACCAATCAGTATTTGTTATTTTACGTTGCTTCTTCTTGTGTTTGTTCAGTGAAGTATTCGTTGTCCGATCATAAAAATCTTTCACGAAAGTGTTCGTTATTCAATTTGTTCATTAACCGATCACCCACTGTATTTCATATAAACAAAACCTTTATAAAATTTTTAAGTTATTGAAAACAAAATCAAGTTTTAAAATATTTTGACAATTTTAATTTGAAATAACTTAAGGATTTTATTGCTCTGTTATATAAATAAAACAGAAAAAACATATTGTGAATATTTGAATAATCCAAATAAATTTAATACTATCATTACTACTTCTAACAAACATTTCACATACATCAAATCAATAATTACAATTTCTGTCAGATTATTTTCTAGCAGCTGCTAATTGTATAAAGTACAATACACCTATTTAGCTATACATACACATTTTTGAATCAATTAACTTTTTGGTTTATTTATCACTTTTGTTTAAATGTTTCGCATAACGGTCAATTTACAAAAGAGTTATTGGCAGATAAAAATGCATTGTTTTCAATGGAAAATACCAAACTATTGAATTCATCCTTAATAAATTAGTTGTTATTATTATTTCAGATATTATATTCAGAAAATGCAAATAAATACAAAAGTTAATTATTATACTGAAATGTCACTACAACTTTAAGAAAAAATATCAAATATGATTTAACTGAACAGCTGATTTCTGAGATTTATATTTTGGAATATTCTTTGCTAATTAATAAAAATATTAGTCAGCATTAACAATCTTATAATGATAATTAGTTTAGTATTAAATAATTTAAAATGAAAACAAATGAAAACAACATTTTTTCAAGCAAATATTGGAGAAAATGCAATGTAGAAGATTAAATTTTTTTTTAATTTTTAATAATTACTATGAAAAATAATATACAGTTCAATATTTTTATTTCAGAAATTTGCAT